AGGACTTAACGCAGAAGGCTGCATTTCTCCAGCGCCTCATAATTTGACGAGCCTTGCACGAAAAGCATGTTTTTAGACCGGAGTTTGGAGATAGTTTTTTTTTACAACAACATGGGTCTAAAGTATCAATGTGCCGGAGATTGAACTATAAGGGGCGCTTTATCGAGCTTGTTGTCCACAAAGCCCGGTGTTTACTAACACAGCATGACAAAGAAATTGAACCTCGCCGAGCACGGTCTGGGCACGAGCGCTTCGCTGTGATCAGTGCTTCGGACGCACGAGGAGCGGTCTTCGAATCGTCATCTTCGACTTCTCTAATCAACAACAAACAAGAAAATTAGGTTTGTTGCCCACACAGCTGAAGTATGCCGCCAGACGCGTGACTGTTGGATCTCGTCCTCAAGCACTTCACGCGACAGTCTCGCGCGCCACGTTGCACGTCATGGCACGGGCAGCTGCAACCTACATAACACTTTGTATAGTGTGCGAGCAGAGCGACAGCGTCTTATTTGGCAGCTAAAGAGGCTTATCAAACAGCGCCAAAAGAAACGCTTTATCGCGGTCATGTTTTTGTTGGTGCCCGTATTATCTGGCCCCCGCTAAACCAATCGAGCACAGTGCATACCCGCCGTCTATCTGTGTATGTTATGCTAGGAGTGCACTTATCCTAAAAAGAAGCAGAAATTTAAAGAACACACTTAAGACTCCTTACGTGTAGGAATGCGAAAGCATTCCTACAAGCAGCGCGCCATCTTCCTATCGCACATGGCGCTCTGACGGTGACATCACGCTTACCCCCACTGCGCACCGCGCGGCGAACCCCCGTCGGCTCCATGGCTTCCGTGACGGTGCATCTGCGTCCCTGTGCTTTTCTGTGTGTTCTATTTCTGAGGCGCGTCCGTTTGACCTTGAGCGCCCAGCCGGCGTCCTCGATGAAGCATCCGTCTTTCTGTGCTTTTGGCCAATGGGAATTTAACTGCCGTTTCGCTGCTACAGACGGTTACAGACAACGCCGGCTTCGCTCCATGGGACAGTTAATGCTTTTCAACTAAAATATATTCTTCGCGTTATCCAACTGGGTGGCGTCAACTACACTAGTGGATGTAGTTTACACGAATAAACCGTTTATTTACAGACGTTACTAGAAATAAGGTGAGGTAGCATAAGCCCGTCCGCCATGCTGTCCAAGGCCCGTGTTCTGTGTTCCATCCTGTGGTCCCGTGCACCTTCGTCGCCTTTTACCCCGCCTTCTGGCTCTCTTTCTCGTGCTGTAGTTCGTACCAGCCTACATCTCTCTTTCTTCGCCTACTTGTTGACGAAGTTTGTGTCCTTAAAGCGGGCTGGTTTCCTTTTCGTTCTTTGGCTTCTGCGGAGCATTATGCTGTTTCGCCTGCACTGGACACCATCGTCGTCTTGGACGATGTACGATCTTGGCTTTGGTGCTTTTGCTACAACAATAGCAGGCCTCCACTTTCCGCTGTGTTGATCCCTGAGAAATATATCTTCTCCGGTGTGGAGTTCGTGCAGAGTTTTGGCATTTTTGTTGTATTGTTGCCGTTGTTGCTTTTGTTTGTCCCTCAAACCGCTGTTGTACTTCTGTGTGGTTTGTTTTTGTGCTTTGAAGCAGCGAAGGATGCGTGGGAATTTCCTGTCCTTGTGTGCCTATTCATAAGCTTTTGAACTGGAGATCCCAGGACTCCGTCTCGATGTGTGTTGCGCCACTCCAGTAGGGCGTCATAATAGTCTGTAGTTCCATAGCTGCATTTGTTCATGAGCTTTTTGGCTTCTTGCACCGCTCTCTCAGCCATTCCATTGGATTTCGGGTGATAGGGGCTGGATGTCACGTGGAAGATCCCTCGGTGCTGTAGACACTCCTTAAAGTCTGCACTGTTGAATGGTGGACCGTTGTCTGAAACAACTTTGACTGGCAATCCATGCACAGCAAATGTTTTTAGACAGCAGTTGATCACTTGATTGACAGCTGTCCTCTGAAGCTGATGTGTTTCGTAGTAGAACGAGTAGTAGTCCACTATCACAATGTAGTGGTGGCCGTTGTGTTGGAACAAATCTATTCCAACCACTTGCCATGGTGCGGTTAGCACAGGATGGTTAATGAGAGCTTCTTTCTGTTGTCGTGGCTTGTTTTCTTTGCACACGATGCAACTTTCTACTTTATCCTTTATGTCTTTCTGCATTGTAGGCCAGTAGAGAACTTCTTTGGCACGATGTAGTGTTTTCTCTACACCGCTGTGCGCCCTGTGTAACTTTACTAGTATTTCACTCTTCAGTTGTTCTGGAATGATGAGTCTATTTGACCTGAACAGCAAGTCATCCTCTTCATGTATCTCATCTCTGTATGGCCAATACTGCTTCAGAGTATTTGGTACTTCTTCTTTGCTGATTGGCCACTGACCTCTTGCATACTCTAACATGGTGGTCATATCTTTGTCTTTACTTATCGCTTTCCGACATTCTTCTAAGGTTTCGTCTTTGATGGGGAGGCACTCCAAGACGTTCACCTCGAAAACCTCTGGCTCTTCCTCCTTTGATGGATTTCTAGAGAGTGTGTCAGCAATGTATAGCTCTCTTCCTGGGGTGTACTTAACTTGAAGTTCATATTTTTGAAGGGTTAGTCTCATCCTCTGTAGCCTGAGAGGGCACTGGTTGAGAGGCTTTCGGAAGATAGCCTCCAATGGCTTGTGGTCCGACTCCACGACAACGGTGTGTCCGAAGATGAAGTCGTGGAATCGACTGCATCTGTGTACGATCGCTAACAACTCCTTCTCGATTTGTGCATAGTTCTTCTGAGCGTCACTCAAGGACCTTGAAGAATAAGCTACTGGATGTCCCTCCTGCAGCAACACTGCACCCTGTTCCTCTGGAGCTTGCATCTACTGACAGCGTTACTTGCTTGTTTTTGTCGTAGAACCGCAGCGTGGGTGCGACCGTTAGAGCCGTCCGAAGGGCTGTGAAACTTCTCTCTTGTTCTTCTGTCCATGACAGGCTGTCTCCTTCTTTAGGAGTTGCCTCAACGACGCACTCACGTCTGACATGTTAGGAATGAATCTTCCCAGGTAGTTTACCACTCCTAGGAAAGCTCTTCAGTTCACCCACATTGTTCGGTCTTGGTAGAGCAAGGATGTCTTTCACTTTATCCGGATCGATTGAGAGTCCCTCTGCTGAGAAAATGTGACCCAGGTACTTGATTTGTTTCATGCAGAGCTTGCACTTTTCCTTGTTCAGTCGTAGGTTGACCTCTCGGCACCGTTGTAGTACCGCCTGAAGCCGACAGTCATGTTCCTCAGTCGTCTTTCCCCAGATGAGGATGTCGTCTATCATGATCTCTACTCCGTCTAAGCCTTCAAACACCATGTGCATTGTCTTCTGGAACACCTCGGGAGCAGACGATATGCCAAAAGGCATTCGCAGGAATCTATACCTCCAAACGGCGTCGCAAAAGTACACAAGTACGAGCTGGGCGTGTGGAGCTTGATTTGCCAAAACCCTGTGGCTGCGTCTAGCGTCGAGAAGATCTTGGCTCCTTCCAATCATGTGGCAATGTCCTCTAACGTAGGCATACAGTAGGTTTCCCGCATGAGGACCTTGTTCAGCTCTTGAGGATCAAGGCACAGTCGGAGTTTGGCTTTCTTTTGTACAACCACAATAGGGTGGACCACTCCGTTGCTTCTGTTACTGGCGCAATCACTCTTTGTTGCACCATATCTTCCAGGTGGCTTTTGAGCTTGTCCCTGATAGCGACCGGGACTGTACGCGGCTGCTGGATCACGCCTTGTGCATCTGGCTTGAGTCTCATGTGGTATTTGACGCCTTTAAATTCTCCCAATCCATGAAAGATGTCTTCATGTTGTTGCACCGTCTGACTGCAGTGCTTTTCCACGGATCCCACTTCTGACACCATGTAGTTTACCACGAATAAACCGTTTATTTACAGACGTTACTAGAAATAAGGTGAGGTAGCATAAGCCCGTCCGCCATGCTGTCCAAGGCCCCGTGTTCTGTGTTCCATCCTGTGGTCCCGTGCACCTTCGTCGTCTTTTACCCCGCCTACTGGCTCTCTTTCTCGTGCTGTAGTTCGTA